AAGCTATAAAGCTTATTTTTATAAATGTCAAACATAGAGTGTGTATAAGACACTTATGAGAGAATATTAAAAAACTCTTTCGCTGTGATGATGACAACAAGCTTCAGAATTTGTTATGGACGGCCGCAAGCACTTACGAGCTACATGATTTGCATAAAAAAGTTGAGGAGATCTTCAAAATCAATCCACAACTTTACTCTTACTTGAATGCGTTATCATGCAAGTGGTCAAAGGCGACATTCTCAAAGAACATAAAAAATCACTACAATACGAACAACATGTTCGAGTCTTTTAATGTATGGGTTGTATAAGACACCAAGGAAAGATCAATTTATAATTCATCAATCGACTTTAAGAAAAGCTGAAGTTGAGGGACTTTATGAAAGACACGAGATTGACATAGAAAAGAAGGATTGTAGTTGTAGATTATGACAATTAAGTGGTCTACCCTGTATACATAGTGTTGCATTCATTGGAACGAGACAACATACCTTATGTCATACGTATGTTGATGATCACTACTACGTATATAGGTATGTTACTTTCCTTCGTTAGCTTCATAGTATGCATTGATTAACTAGTGATCTTAAGTTACTTTCATTTTTTATGATTAGATACAAAATGTCATATGATGGTGCAATTACAACACTACCTGGAAAGGAACAATGGGTTGCAATTAGTGATGGTGAGCTAGTGACTATGCTAGCTTCACTTCGACCGCATGGTAGACCCAAGAAAAGGAGAATTAAGAATTTCTTAGAGATAGGAAATAAAAGAAAACTTGGACATAAGTGTAGTCGTTGTAACTTATGGGGCCATCTTAGAAGTAGTTGTAAGAATCCTTTAAATGTGGGAGGTGACGAGATTGGTTCGCATGAACTGATTCATAGTACAAGCAATGCTCGACCAAAATTGAATATACGCCGGCCAAGCTCCAGCAGTTTTTCTGGATTGATTTGGTGGTTTTGTTCAGCTTTTGGGTTGATTACAGTTTTTGGGTTGCTGAACTGATGCCTCTTATAAGCAGTTTTCTCATTACTATTGGAACCATACGGTTTTTTGTTGTTCTGATTGTTGATTACAATTTTTTTGCTGAACTGTTGCTTTTTTGCTGTTTTGCACAACGTCAACGTCGTATCAGTAGTGAACTGATAACTAGAAAACTGCCCTCCGTTGAACAAAACGATGGTAATGCTATGGTGGAAATTTGCAACTGTACACTCATTGGAAGCACAAAAAGTGAAATTAAAAATTCATTATATTTTCTTTTCAGCTTATATTAAACATATCTATGATGTTAATCCTATTATGAATGGGCTGTGTTATCAATATTTTGACTTCCTCAATGGTTTGGTTAGTTATTGGAGGGACCAAATTCAATCAGCATCATTCACAAACAATACATGTTTCAGATTTCAACGTTCTGCCTGCTATATTATTGATTGTTGATTGTGCTAAATGCATCTGATTCTAGTTATCAGTATTGAACTGATAACTAGAAAACTTCTACATAATCAGTAGGCTAAGAAAGAAACAATGCATCCACAATTCCTTGACTGAAAACTAAATGCTCTGTATACGAATAGATAAGACAAAAAAATGGCACAAATCTTTAATTCTTTTCAAAAGCATACTGAACTTAGGGTTGTATTGATTGACAAAAAAAGTTACATTGACTCAAGCTGACATTTACACACAACAATATTAGTTATAGTGGAAGCTACAATAACATTAACAACAATCTCTATGACCAACAAAATTTTTATTTGTAACACCTCGGCTCTAATTGAAGCAATATGCGTTGAACTGCTTTCAGCACCATTTGAACTTCGAAAATTTCTATCATATAAAAATTCATTAACTTCATCACACCATAAAAAATAATGGCAATCGCCTTATGTTCTACTCCAGGAGCATCTGTAGAATTTTCTTCCTCTACACGAGATTGGTAAGACGTAAATATTGTACATTGTAAGTTGCAATGACAATATATTTGATTACTAAAGTTTCGGATTGGCGTTGCCGAGGAACTCGAACTCATTATAGATTGCCTTGTAAATTGCCTTCACAAAATACACCTTCAAAAAATGAAAGAAAATGAAGACATGAGAAGTAAAACAATTACCTTTGCATTCCATTCATTCGGAAAAATACACCTTGGCATTTCATCAAACACATATTATGCATCTCTAAATATACAAACACAACATAGTGAATTAAGGCTTGAGAAGTTTACCCTAAACAACTAATGGAGAAGATCACCATCAACAATAAAAACTAGGGAACTAAAATTGATTATAAATCTGTTAAAAAATTTTTGGAATAAAGAAGTTTGTACAGCCACACCTCATCTTCCAATTATAATATTTGGTATGGATTTAACTCAGATTTAGTGAATGATACACCAGAAATCTCTCCCTTTGAACCAGAAAAACTAAAAATCACAATACTTTTGCATATTTGTTGAAAACATAAAACCTAGATTTAGAAATGGAGAATAACAACATACCTATGCGACTTATGGAGGAGTGGAGGCCGAAAATCGTTCCAAGCAAAATGCAGAAGTCTCGAAGAGGAAAAAGAGACGTTGAAATCTCAATGGAGAAGAAAATACCTTGCCGAGAAAAATGAGATCTGACCGAGTGAGGGCGAAGCAGTTCGGTGAGGGGGCGAAGCACATTGAGGATGAAGCAGTTCGGTGAGGCTCATTTAACGGGAGCAAACAGAGTGTTCAGAGTGTTGTATTTAATATGTGGTAGTCCTTTTAGGTGGTAAAACAACAAAAAGATAAGTTTGGGTGTGAAATGTGTAAATAGAAATGTTTTGAGTGTTAGGTATGTAAAAATTCATAAATTTTAATGCATTCACTGATTCCTACAACCCTAAATTCTTGCAAAATTTTATGTTTAGTAAGAAAACATTTATCAGTTATCATCTAACTTGAATTTTAGCTATTCCATATATATATATATATGGTTTTCAAATAAAATTATAGTTAAAATTAATATTTGGGTGAGATAAGCTCAAAGGAAACATAAGTATTGTGATTGGAGTACATACGAGTTTAAATCAAATACTTGAAATATAGTTAAAAATTTCATTATATTATTTGGGGGATTAAACGATCTGCTAATATTGCAAAGTTGTAATCAATACTAGTTTTTTAATGAGAGGAATCTAATGAATCAATATCAACTAATTTTGATGTTATCAAGGTGCTTAAATGTTTAATGAATGTTTGATGATCGAGGAAATTAATAAAGGTTGTTTCATAGAATATTTAAGAATTTCGGCTAAAATTACTAAAATACCTCTACAAAAATTACAAATAGCTTCATTCTTCATAGAAAAGGGACATGAAATTAGATAAATCATAAATATAAGAAAGATTTCAAAGTTTTGCTCGATAATTGAGGTTGACAACCGCAACTAACAATTATCAATACTCAACTATTGTCACTCTACGTCATTGCATGTCTATCTTCGCCTGATAATCGCCACCTAAGTGTCGTTACCGGTCATTTTTGCTCAATCCTCTTTGCTTAGCTATCATCATTGAATCATTCTTGCTTAATCATCTTCATCTGAATTTCGTTGTCCAACAATCATCACCGAACCACCATAACTCCAATGTTGTCGCCTATTATCACTTGATCGTCATCAGCACCCTTAATTATTTCATCAAGAATTTTCTCCTACTACTACAAGATAACAAGCCAGTATTCTATACCTTGTAATATTATCTTCTCCAACAAAGGATCATTTGAATTCTAATTTCAGCAAATTTATAATCAAAGTGAACATCTCAATCAGATGTACAAATGAGAGCTTAGATCAACCAATTGAAACTTAATTAAAAACTTTGAGATATAACTTGGTGACACCGCCGGCTGTCGTCGCAAGGCGGATCACCGGTTGTCTGGAGCAATCACGCGGACATCTGTTATCTTCCCTAACTTCGGATCTGCAAACAGATGACCAAGAAGCCAATGGCGGGAAAGAAAGAACAGGAATTCAAAAACAGAACGAAGTCTAAATATTCGAAAATCAATCTTTTTCTGTTTCGTACAATTCAGGTTATTTAAAGAGAACTAAGAAGAAAGCTAGATACATGGCTACACGCACTAAGCTACACCACAACCAACTAAACATCAGTAGCTCCTGCGTCACTTGGAGAACCATATAATCTCCAAATCTCATATGTTTCTAATCGAATTGAGAGATTCTGCAAAATGAATCCAATAAGCCCATGATCGCTTAATTCAAACTTCATTAATGCATGATATATTTGGCTATGTTAGTGTCCAAATTAGTTTATATCAAGCACTTGAAACATAACTGATTGATGTTATCACAAATTAATCTTATATTTGATAAAAGCATTTTGAGCAAGATTAATAAAGCAAGGCATTATATATATTTATGATGAGGACCTCATAATTTTAGGAAATTTTTTGGTTTGGAACCTGCATAGAATTTAAGATGGGCCCCCTAACACAAAGACCAACAAATAGAGCTTGATGAGCAAAGTTTCAATAGTTTAAAAGAAGGTTAATGGCCCATTTTGGATGACTGCAGCGTTCTATTAAGTTGGTTATGAAGTTGTTATAGAGAAAATAACTTTACTATTATTATTGTAGAAAATAGTTTTTCATCATAGAAATTTTCTGAAAAGCGGTGAGAAAGCAAAACCAAAATGAAATTATGGTTGTTATCTGAAAAGTCAAGCAATCAAAAATTTATCCCAAACAGATCTGTAGGCTATTATTGCACAATTGATGGTTCAAACTTTATTTTTCCTCTATAATGTCAAGAGATTCAGACATATTAATAGGAGATATCTAACTTTGAGCTTTTAAAACCAATTTAAGCGGCTAAATTTTCCTACAAAGAACGAAGAAATGTGCTCCAAACAGAAATCAGGAGGGCTAAAGTTTCCTACATTTAATTAATAAAAACTTGAATTGACCGGTGATCGCACTAATTTCAACATAAAAGTAAACAAATTTGTAACAAAAAGACAAATTTGTGAGAAAAAGACCGTTCATTTCATCATCGTCATGAAAACTACATAACACAATGCATAAAGGAAACAAGTTGTGAGAAAAAGACCGCTCAGTTCATTATCGCCATGAAAACTACATCAAGGCACTAAAAATCAAAGACTTTGCTGTTCAACTTCTTCACCACCTAAAACAATCACATCCTTCAAAAAAAAAAAAGACTTAGTTTTGGAAGAAGGACGACAAACTTTACAGGAAGAAGAAAACAACTACCAACAGTACGCAGGTTCTAAAGATCATGGCTTCCAGTTCAAATTTTTATCTGGCTTAAAGATTCAGAAACCATAAAAACTTCATCTTGGAAACAGGAAATATCAGAAAAGTTGCAGGAGAAAGAACAACTAAAGGAGCAGCAAACACAGCAGAGCCTCTCAAACAAAGCAGAGAAAGCGAAGCAACTAAACAAGCAGCAGAGCACCAGGTCGCCATTGCGGAAAAGTCACTAGTGATATGAAGAAGAGGAACGAGAAGACAGCTTATATGAGATACTGTCAAGCTCCTCTTCTCCTTGAATCCTTGCTGGGATGCGGAAGCCTGAAAATCCAATAGAGGAAGACGATGGATAGTGAGCTTCCCGATCCATGGTCTCTGTCCATGGACGAAACACGGGCAAGTTACTGGACTGAAGGGGTTCCCTCTGTGTAAAAAACTGACCTCGGCCGAATACCACGTCATTCCTTGAAGCCATTCTCTGGTTCTGCTCTGATAAATCAGAGTTGAGGAAAAAAACGGGGTTTTGATCGGTAAAGATCCCGGCTTGGGAGGATTGGAGAGAAAGCCGGATATTCTGTGGACTATTTGGAGGTTCGGCGAGGGTAAGTGAAGCAGAAACTGAGGCTTCGGGCTTAGCTATGTTCTTTTTTATGGAAGCAGAGACAAGCTCATCAATGGCGGCTTTGGCGTTCTTCATAAGCCAGTCAACTGCTTTGCTTGGGCGGTCATAGCCAAGCCGGTCTTGTACGTCATAGAATTGAATGGCGGTGTGAGCGCTGAGGCGAACGCGGCGGTCTCTTGGACCTTTTGCAGTGCAGACTTTACTGTGTCGATCTTTGCGACTTGTGGAGCGAACAATGTGACCGCCTTGGACCTCCACGATCTCGCCGGCGTATTTCATTCTGCCGAGGATATGCGGAGGCGGCGGTGGCGGGGGAAGGACGAGATGGGCATAGTCGGATGACAAAGTAGGCGGGGTAATGGCCGGCGGCGAGGGAGAAAAGAAGGTTTGCTTATGGGAATCCAGATTTAATAAGCCCAGCGGCGATGCGGCTCTGGTTTAGTTCGAGGATGAGAGCCTTGGAGATGTAAGAAGCTGAATTTCATCTTCTTAGATTCAAAGACGACGACTTGAAAAAAGGCGACGCCTTTCTGTTGTTTTTCGAACAGAGTTTCAGCGAAGAGGAAAGATTCGGATAAGGTTTAGGGATTAAAGGGGGGACTGCGTCTCTGGAAATGAGTACCAAATTCCAAGAAGGAGAGAGGAGCGGCAGGCTTCAGGGGCTGAGGGCGTCGCTGGGAAGAAGACACCATTGGCTCGCTGTTCTTGCTTCTCTCTTCGCTGGACAGCGACCTCGCAGCTCTTTTTTTTATTTTTTATTTATTTTTTAAAGAAAATTTTGGCCATGATATACTCAAAATTTGATCAAAATTAATTTTGAAGAATAAAACTATATATAACAAATTTTCATTAGAATTAATTTAAAAGAATATAATTTATTTCGAAAAGTGTGTAATATAAAAAACTAAATAATTATTTTTAAATTAAAATTATCTCATACAATTACAAAAAATTAAAACTCAAAAGAAATAAAATTTGAATAAATTGATTCAAAATTTATCTATTTTAAATAGGGAGATTTACATACATACCATCCTATACTATTCTATTTACATATTTAATATCTAAAATTTTAATATTACATATATACCACCCATAGTTCATTTTTATATCAAATATGAGTAGTAGAAATGAAATATATGAGTGGTATGAAGGAAATATAAGTGGTATATTTGATATTAAAATAATATAAGGTGGTATGTATGTAATATTAAAGTTTTAGATATTAGATATGTAAATAAGATGGTATACATGCATATTTACTAGTTTAATTTGTTACTAAGATTTTAAAATTAATAATATAACATAAAAAAATTTATAAAATTAATATGAAATACAATTAAAAGTTCTAACACAAAATATAAAAGATCGAAAACTTATTCCTAAAATAAAAAATTTTAGATTTTCAAATAGGAATAGTCTATAAAAATTAAATATAATCATTAAACTACACAAATTTTCCTCTAGGAGCAAGCTTGCTCATCAAAAATTGTACAAAAACAACTCAACTATTAACAAAATTATTTAATCAAATAAATTGATCCTTCTTGAACAAGCTCACTCAAAATCATTCTATTATAAATATTAGCCCTTCATGAACAAGCTTGCTCATCAAATTCTATCCATTATCGATCTATGAGTTACAATGCTCTAGACTATAAGTGTTGTGTCCTGGAATATTCAAAGCAATAGAGAAATATAAATTTTAGCAATGGTGGTCGGAAGGATAGTAGTAGGGTGACGGAGGTCGAAAAGATAATAGTTTGGCTTTGGTAGTAGAAAACATCAAAGTTAGGTGATAGTGGTCGGAATGATCATAGTCGGTGGGCGACGGAGATCAGAAAGACCGTTTTAGGTGAAGGTGGTCAGAGAGACCATAGTAAGCATGCAATGGAGGTAGGAAAGATCAGAATCAGTGAAGGTGGTCGGAGAGACCATAGTCGGCGAGCGATGAAGGTCAGAAAGATCATATACTCGGTGAATGTGGTAGGAGAGACCATAGTCGATTGGCGACAAAGATCGAAAAGATCGTAGTTGTGCGACGGTGGTTGGAATGACCTTAGTTGGCGGGCATCGGAGGTCGGAAAGGCCACAATCAGGTAACAGTAGTCGGAAGGATCGTAGTTGATTAGTGACGGAGGTTTGAAAGATAGTAGTCGAGCAATGATGGGAACTATAGTCGGGTGATAGTGGTTGGAAGGGCAGTAGTCAGTGACGATTGTCAGAAGAATTGTAGTTAGGCGACAGTGGTCAGAAGAACTGTAGTTAGTTGGCGACAAAGGTTGAAAATACTGTAATTAGGCGGGTGGTCGGAAGAACTATAGCGGGTGACTGTGGTTGGAAGGACCGTAGTCGGTGATGATAGTCATAAGGATTATATTTAGGCCAGAGTGGTCGGAAAGACCGTAGTTGACGGGCAACAAATGTCGAAAAGACCTAGTTGGGCAACTGTGGTAGGAAGGACTGTAGTTGCGTGACGGTGGTCAAAAAGACAGTAGTTAGGCGATAGTGGGTGGAAGGATAGTAATTGGTAAGCGACGGAGGTTGGAAAGACTGTAGTTGGGAACGGTGGTCAGAAAGGACGGTAGTCAGGCAACGAAGGTCGGAAAGATCGTATTCAGGCGATAGTCGACAGTAGGGGGGGGGAGTTCGACGAAATTCTGTCGATGATTAGTGGCCGAACGGTGGTTGAGGAGGAGCTTGATGGCAAAAGAGATCTTATATTTCTGTTTCTTTACTCTCTTTTTTCTCGTCCATTTTTTTTTTAACTTTTATTGAAAAATGAGGGGTCTATTTATAATTTTCTGGGAATGTAATGGCCATTAAATAGGGAGAAATTAAGGGCATTATGGGAGTGTTTCGAATTGACAACATATATTAATTTCCTTGATCATGGACAATTTATAGAATGTTTAAGTGCCTTGATGATGTCAAAATTCGGCAATCTTGGGCTTGTTGGATTAGTCTCGTCGAGCAGCTTGATTTGACTATAAGCATGACACATTTGGATGTCATTTGTTATCCAATTTATTCTTTGAATCTTCCAAATGTGCTTCGGGAGCTAGATTTTTAACCATTTAGGCTCGGATTTGATCAAATTTAATATCATTGAGTTTGTCTTTTTGAGACGTTCAATTCGACTATAAATTTGTTTAAATTGAAGTCAGATGACCCCAAATTTAATCTTGAAATTTTCCAATACTAATTTACCTCGAGATTCATACTCGGTTTAGATAATTTTTTGACATATATATTAAGAAATTGATTTCTTAAATAGCTTTAAAACTTACTTTTTGTACAACAACTTTACATAACATTAAGAAAGATGTCACAAATAAAGCATAAGGCTCTAAGATTATCATAATAGTGAGGCACTTTTAAAGGAGTTACCATATTCACTTGGTAAGCGAACGACATAACTATAGAAATAGGAAGAGGGTGATAATGTAGAGATAGAATGACATATTTGAGGTATTAACTCATATGTGTGTAAATAACCTTTAAAAAAACTTAGGCTTCGTTTAGGACAACTTTCTTACTGCATGTAAAGTTATTGTAGAAAAATTAATTTTTTAAAGCTGTATTAGAAAGCAGCTTTCTAATACAAATTTTTTTTGAAATAAATAAAAAATAATGACCAAACATAAATCGTGATTGTAGCCTGAAAATCAAAGCAACGAGAAAACTATCCCATACGAAACCTTAACCCAGATAATAATCAACTGTAATTCTATAACTAATAGGTATCAATGATATTTTTTTTTCTAAAATTTGTCTTAATTATTTTTTATGAGTAATTCAAGGATTCTTCAAAAATAATTCATTAATGCTGAGTAGTATAATATAGATGTGAATTTATTTATTCATTTATTTGAAACTAAATTCAGGATAAAATATTATGTTAAATTTCAAAATAGTCCTCCAACTATTCATATATGACTATATTAGTTCCAGAGTAAAATGTTGCTACAAATTTAGTGTCGTGATTATACAAAATTGATCCGAAATTATTCAATTGGGGATAAATTGAAATTATTTTTTGTAAAACCAAGAGATTAAATTGAGATTAATTTTATATCACAATTATAACATGCTAAGATATTTTGAATCAATTTTATAATCGAAAGACTAAGGCTTTATTTGGGATGACTTTATTACTGCTTCTTAAACAAAAAATTAAAATTTTTAATAGTAAAAAAGCAATCTCAAACAGAGGCTAAATTGGAACATATACTCCTTTGAGTTTGAGCACTACTTTGAAAATTTTTAGGGGCTGTTTGGTTGCCTGAAAAGAAAATGCAGTGTAAAATAAATGCAATGTAAAGTAAATGTAATGCATTCCAAATACTTTGAGCATGCTTGATTGTCTGCAAATTAAACACAGGAAAATTGTTTCTCTTGTTTGATTAGGTAGAACCAGAGTAAAGTAAAATCATTTTTTTATAATAAATTATTTTTGACATTACAACTAGTTTATTAACAAAAACAGTGTATTTATAATAATTAGTATTATTTTATGTTATAAAATAAAATAAGTGTATTCAATTATTACACAATCTTATTATTATTATTATTTTTTTTGTTATAGGAAAATTTAATATTTGAATTTTAAATTAAATTCTTTGAAAATTTTCAATCTAAATATACTTGTGATAGACAGAAATTTAAAATTTAAATTCTTATTTTTCAAGTATTGGATTAAACTCTCTTAAGTGAATCATAAAATAAAAATTCTTTTGAATCATAAAATACAACCTCATTTCAAATGATTCCTTACCATGAAAACATTTTATATATATATATATATATATATATATA